CTTGTGCCCTGATGTGATTAGCCCCGTGGGAGGACGACTGCTTAATGCACCACTGTGTAAGCGTGTGTGTGTGTGTGTACAGAGAGATGGCGGGCCGGCAGAGAAAATGAGTAAACAGAACACAAACACAAATCCCTCCTGTGCCCGACTTCAACACGTGCGGCATTTCAGATTCAGTGAACAGTAACTCCTTTCCACGCCGTCCCAGGAGTCGGACAAACCGGGACACGGCCTCATCGATCCTCTCTGACACACCTGCAGGAGAGGTACAGGAAACCCGAACTGTACCTTAACTGGAAATCAAGAACTATTTCATAGATTTTTTTTATCCAGCTACTGCAGACATCTTGGTTGTTAATCCAGATGAAATTTTCAGTTCTGTTGTTCAGTTTGGATTTGGAGTTTCCCTCCAATTAATTGTAGGATGGATGATAAGTTGCAGGCAATGGCGGATGTCTGGAGACTCCTTGAGACACAGACAGAGTTCCACAACAATGCCAAAAATGTCAGTTTGACAGATTTAAAAGAAAAAAAAGTTTTTTTTGTTTTTTTTTCCCAATAAGGTGATTCTCACAGAGCTTTATGATGGATTATGATAATCCAGTCTGTCAGAGAACAGACTGGGAAATATACAGCCCAATAACACAACAGGCAGTAACCAGGTAGACTAGCCTGAGGAGCAGAAACATTGTCACACAGTGAATGGATTAACACTGAAGAGTGTTCCTTTATTGAACAGGATAACGCTTCCAAAACCGTACCTGGGGCTACAGGTTACGTTTTTTTTGTTTTTTTTTTTACTTTATTTTTCAATATTCGCAAAACCAATTGTCTGTAGTGGTGCAACATCGTTGCCCTCTGGCTTATTGGGTAGTCGTCTTGTAATCTGGAAGTTGCAAGACTTCCAGATTACAGATTGCCCTGGGTAAGGCACTTAACCCTGAGCAGTCTCCCGATCTCTGGATCAGCATACGAAAATGCCACCGGGTGACTGTGGATCTACTGTTCAGCGTTTTGCACCATCAGTCTTGGTGAAGTGAAACCTTCATTATAGATTTTGTTTGGTTGCCCTCATGCTCCATAGCTGTAACAACTGTAGACTCAACAGGCAATCCAACCACCCGGTCTCTGATAGAGCTACCTGATGGTAACACTATCAGACTCAATCTTAGGCTGATAATACTTTCAGATATGAACAGGTGAACTGGTGCAACAAAACCCCAGCTGGGGTCCTGAAATAAGGATCCTGACTGATGGAAGAAGATTACACTTAAGGAGAAGAGCATCATCGTCTACGTCAAGAGCAACCGTCTTTGGCTCAAACACCTGATCAGTAAACCTTCGGGACTCATGCCTTGAAATCTTTTCCAGGCACCTCTGAATGAAAGGTAGACCCCATCACAGACTCGGAGCTCCCAGTTGGGACCATCCCATTTGACCTATGAACCTTGTGATCCACTATGAGGTGCTGGAGAGTGCCGGAAGAGAAGAATGTATGAATTTCCGTTTGTGCTTCACTTTGCTTCGAGGGTCTGGAGAAACGATTGCTTGCTGGAGGTGTTGATTCTGTTGAAGTTTAAAATTTTACCCAGCCGCTAACGTTTGGCCATGACGTGTGCAGCGTACCAGCTCAGTGCTATGAAGCTTACCAGGAATTACCTGTGCTGTAAACAACTATCCTCCACTGCGAAGAGAGACGCGAAAAACTGAACAAGACGGTTGTTAATGTTGAATATTTGGAAGCATGGCCGACATGGACTGAACGGCTTTGTTCGCTTCCTCCGCAGCCACTGCTGCTGAAGTTGGAAGCTTGAAGATGGGTTTTTGTGAGAAGGCATAAATAGTTTAGGTTAGATGAGATGTTTTAATCGTCATTTGAATTATGCTTTCATTGCATTTGTAAAATGATCAAACCAACACAGTTTTATTCCATCCAGTTTGACTTGTCTTGACTTGTCTTATCTGCCCTTCTCTGGACTGAAACTATTTCTGAACACAAAGCGAAACCTGACGAAGCAAAGAGAAAGAAAAGCCTTTCAATCATTTAATCATTTTGCCTCAAACCGCTGTACATTTCCAGCAAAGGTATTTCCATTAACCTTTGAATCCGGCAATTTGTTTAAATCAGTGGCAACCACACTGGAAGGGAAATAACAGTTCAGGATGATTTGAAATAGCACTGATGTAAAATTAAAATCTATTTTTTATTCAGTCTGACATTAAAAGCAAGACATTTTTCTTTTTTCTTCAATCTCCATTTGTACAGAAAAAGCAATTTGGTTTCTGCTCGCCGTGGAAAATTACAGTCCTGTTTCCGCTTCATCTGGATTCTCCGAGGGTTTCTGGACATTTGGAGACATTTCCAGTATTTTCTGATATTTAAAACACAACGGTTCACTGCAGAGCAGCAGGCTTCCCAGAGTTTTGCGGTCGGATCTGCAGAGTTCAACGTCTGGGCCGTATGGTAATGCAGCTCAGAGGACCTGCTGGGTCACAAGCATCGTTTTAAAAACGATAAAGAACGCCAGACATCGCCGATTCAGGAGGGATTACACCTGACAGGTGGCGCGCTGTACCCTGAAGTCTCTCTGTCCAATTCTGTATATGAAGAAAGGAGCGCAGCGGGTCTGTTCGCTGCAGGCGGAGTGGGAGAGGATCGGGAAACAAAGATGGAGGGAGAGTACCTCCTGTTGGTAGTCACGGGAACATTTAAGCTTTTACATGCACTGACCTGTCCTCAGAACTGTAGGGTTGGTTTTAGGCATTAAAAAAAAAAGAATCTAAATTTAAATTTTTCTTACATCCAATTTATTGTATATTTATTTCCTCATCTTCTAATCTAAATATCTGCCAGCTGAAGGAAAATTAAAGGCATGCTGCTAATAATAGGGAAATAAAATGATGTAATATTATAATTAAGATCATCTGATCAGGCTAATGCTGACCTGCTAATGCCAGGGGAAATTAGAAAGCTGGGGTGAAAGTATCAGTTACACACAGATGCCTCCACTGAGTCAGTGGGGGGGGGGGGGGTCTTCAACTTCACCTGTCACCTGTCTGTGTCACCATGGCAACAGATGCTGTAACCCCAGGAGCTGATCAGGTTGACAGAACCGGACGCTTATGGAAGAACATCCCACGCTAAAATCCAACTGAGGAATCTAGTTCTGTTGTTAAAATCATTGCAGTTCCACATAGGCCAAATTATTAGGTTCACTTTGCTAATATACGACAGTTTTTTTCCAAATGTATTGAGTTGCTGCCCCGTGATTGGCTGAGTCGTTATTTGTGTTAACAAGCGACGAAATTAGGAGATCGTCTGACCTGGGAAAGAATGGGTCAAATGAATTATTAAAACTGAAAAATAAATGCAACACTTGTGTCCGTTATGAGTGGATGTAAACTTTTTCTCCACGTGTTTTCACACTGAATCCAGCTAGCGTATGAAAATACGTGTTGTGCATGATGAGCAGGATGAGCAGCTAAGAAAAGGAGTTGGACATGTCTCATCGGCTGTAAAGTTTGATCAGGATTTCTGGTCATACATGTAGATGACAGCACTGGGAAACTGGTGGTCAAAACATCTTAAAATAATTTAGAAAGGACAGGAGGGGGGAAAGTGTCTCTCCAGAGTCCAGAAGGCTGGTTGAGTCACTAGAGAGCATGTAACTGGAGAGGTTCACTAGGTTCAGCTCGGAGAAGGGAAGTCCTGACAACGGGAGCGTGACAGGGTTGAGCCGGCGCTCAGCAGAGTCAGATGGAAAAGAGGGGAACAGCTGCTGAGGACAAACCACCAGGATAAAGCCATCTAATAGCTGGAACCACCAGCACCTTCAACTCCACCGCTCTGTCTGTGGATCCAATCGTTCCCGATCCAGAGAAATCCCAGACTTCCTGCGGCCTTTTCACAATAAGAGCTTCGACAGGATAGATAGCCTAAAGACGGAAGGAAGCTGCAACTTCTTTCATGACCAGACCAAAGAAGTAGTGAAAAAGCTTTATTCTTCTCAGTGCTCCTTTACCATAGAGAAAGAAGAAGCTGTGGAGAAACTGATGCGTCTGCAGCAAATGATTCAACTCATAAAGGTTGATGGGCAAATAAAACAGATCTAACTGTAATAAGAAAGAGATACTGCCCAAAAACCACAAAAGATACACAAATATCAAATGAGGTGATTTCATTTCAAGTCGATCTTTTAAAGGATTGATTTAAAAGGTAAAACCCCTGAGGAATATTTAGAGTGCTATGCAAAACTGACGTTTCTTCCTCTGTAAAGCTCAGAAAGAGCTTTTTTTTTTTTTTCCTTGGTGTCAAAAACCAATTAAACTGTCAGAGCACACAGCGGGGCTCAAAAAGAAAATCCCCCATTTTGCATCACAAATCTGATTCTGCAACTACTCCGTTAGTTAGTGAAAGATTTTCAGCACAAAACGACACTTATCTGATAAAAAAAAATGAGCAGATCAAACACAACCTTCCCCACAGATTAGATTTTTACACTGGAATAGAGACTGCCTGTAGCTAAAAGCTCAACTTAAGCGTTTTCTAAACAGGAGCAGAAGTTATGGTAAGCATTTTCAGAATAAAAGAAAGTCCGATCAACGTTTCAAGAGTAATAGCAGAGACTCTGCTGAATGTTTTCAAAATAAAAGCAAAAAACCTGAAATATTTTTTGGGGGAAAAAAAGGCAAACACTGATGCATTGGGCATATGAGAAAGTTATGTTGAATAATTTCAGAATAAGAATATTCTACTGATTATTATTACTATTATTGAAAAATATAAGAAAGCGGTAGAATGACAGCAGAAATCCTTATAAATATTTTCAAAATAAAAGCATTTTGAAACTCCACCGCTCCGTCTGTGGATCCAATCGCTCCCGATCCAGAGAAATCCCAGAAGGTTAGTCAGAAAAATCAGAAGAAACTGCTAAAAAAACGTAGAAGCCCTGATGAATATTTCCAGAATGAGATCAAAACCTATAAGAGCGGAGACTCACATGGATGCTGCGCAGCTTCTTTCGGCCTCTCTCCAAGCGGTTCAGCAGCTTCAGTTCTCCGCCCGCCGGCCTCAGCAGCTGATCATCGGCCGAGAAGGTCTTCCTCAGAGCTACCCGCTCACCTGCCGTCCACACAGGTGTCACCCTGTCCGTCTGACCCAGCAGGAGGCTCCTCCCACTCGGCCCGGCTCCTCTGGCTCCACCTGCTGCCGATCCAGAAGGAGGATCGGGTGACCAGAAGTCGCGCTGCACAGAACCTGGATAATAGAAACCAGAGACGACCGGTGGTTACTTTACACCACAACCACACACACACGCATACAAAGAGTGTTTTTGTATTTCATTAGAGCGTTGAAAAAATGCACCTAAGGAACAGTGACAAATTAAGATTTAAGATTCAAGATCTGCTTTATTGTCAATCGGTACTGCCATCAAAACACAACGCAGAAGAAATGTCGGTAGAGTTTTTAAAAAAATGAGGCGAGGAGGTCCGAGTGGGTCGGGAGCTGCAGCTCGTCGTCCTGCTTCAGGAGGTTTTATGTTTCAACTCATCCATGCGTGCATGTGGGCACACGCACGCAGCTGACTAACCTGATGCTGCTGCATTAAAGCTGCATGAGGACAGTAAGAGGCTAAACAAAAGGAAGCTCTCTGTGTTTGTGCTGGATGGAACCGATCCAGCTCAAATTCAAATTTGAGAACACAAACTCGTTCGCTTTGAGGGAAATGCAACAAAATATGAACACTTTGAACTTCCTTGTTGCTGAAAGGCGCCGGGGGAAGTCACATCGACTTGACTCTGCATTTAATAAAATGGTGTTTCAGACAGTCGGTTTCTCACAGGTCTACTAAATGTGACGTGGAAAATGTCTCTCTTTTTTGCCATTAATCTGAGGGAGAATAAGAAATACATTGTTATTACTGGTGCTGTGTGTGAGAAGATGCAAAATTCAAGAAATATTCTGTGTTGCAAGAAAAGGCCAAATCTAAATCTGTAGATTAAGAGGTGGAGATATGCAACACAACAATGATTAAAGTGGATTTATATTAAAAAAGGATTAAGTGACTCTACAATTGCCTTAATTGTCTTGACAAACATTTAATATCCAATTAATACGAAGCTGAGCCATAGTCTCAAGTTGATGTTCTTGTAGATTTCATCAGCTCCAATAATCAGATGAAATGCAATAAAACCTTTTCAGTATCTCCTCTATAGAAAAACCCCAGATTGTTGCAGGATGTAAAAGGACCTGTTAAAGGAGGCATCTGGATCAGAACCTCCATAAATGACTCCTGTCAATTCAGAGAAACAGCAGCTTTCCTCCGAGCTTTTCCTGGATGTCAGAGATCCTCTCCTCATCTCTAAAGCAGAGCCTAGCAGAATAAGGTCATTTCAGGATCCTTAACCCATGAGGGATACGACAGACGTGGAGCGGTAAATCCAGAGCTTATCCGATTAGTTCAGGTCTTTCTATACCACCACTTTATTACAACATCTTTATTACTGCCGAGGAAACCATGACCTTACTTTCCAAAGTTCTGTTAGCAAGATGTCGCCAGGAGAAGTTCTGAGACCAGAGAGGCTGAAAGTTTTCCAACATCCAAGAGGGTCCAGATGAGGGCGCTACAGTAGCGGCACCACTGCAAAACCTGACGCATTGGTGAGACCACTGCATGGGGTGAGTGAAGCGATGACTTTTGGAAGCGAAGGACAACAAAGATAGAGAGGAATTTTGCAGGAAGTACAGGAATTACTAGCAACCTGGTTAGGTCCTCCTGACTATTTAGGGGATATTTGCAGATAGGAAAGCTGAGAGGTACTGTGAATCCCGCATGGTGCCAACATTGAATAATTCTGATCCAATACGTTTGTGAACTTGTTTCTGCTTAGATTGAGCAGACTTCCTTCCGAATCAACCAAACAATACAGTCAGGAATAAAACACAGCATCGAAATGTCTTCCAGGAGCAACTTCTTCTATTATCCTAGCATGAGACTGGTTACGATCAGTCAATTTTCCCAGATTGAAATGACATTTTGAAAACGATCAACTTCATGCAGGTATTGAACATACTTCTCAATAATCCCACTTTTTTTGTACAATTTTTTCTTTGTGGGCTGTTCAAGATCTCTAATCTTCAAAGAAATTGAATTTCAGACATAAGGGTTTGAACACAGTCCATGAGTAATCTTCCTTTTATAGTATGTAGTGAGTTTATACCCTATTCAGTTAAAAAAGTTGATGAACTTCAATTATATTTTAATTTGTTGAGATGCACCGCTATATGGTCTTCTGTAAACCTTAGAACCCCCAAATGAAAAAATCCTGTCTCTAAGCGTTGGCAGTCAACAACCACCGGGTGGCGCCAGAGAGCTCTGTTAAGCGCTGAACTGTGTGGATCGAAGCACCAAAAATCTTTTTGAATGAAACCTTCCAGTACTTATATTTTAGAAGTAAAAAGTTTGGAGTATCTGACCATCAATAGCAAACCACCTCCCATGATGCTTTGGTCTGATGCAACACGAGGATACTGAACATGTGTGTGATGCTGCTCCCGCTGAACCCGGCAAGGAGACGCACAGCTGCTGCTCGTAATACAGCAGAGCCAGAGCTATGAATGTTTGATGAGGAGGAAATCTGCCACGGAACGCATCACTGAAACACATCAGGAGTGTTTAACGCATCGGTTAAAAACATGCACCGCTTGTTACAGGCTGAAGAGAGAAGTAATAGCTTTAGAAACACCAACCCCTCTGGCAGAATCACAGTTTAAAAAAAAAAAAAAGTTAAATGTTTGAGTAAAACTCCTGATTGTTGTTCTGATTTGTACGGAATTTGAAAACGCCAAAAATCAATCCGCTTCAGAGCCCGCCATTTTTTAATTATCTTTTTAATAAATTTAAACTACAAACTCTAAAGATAAATATGTTTGTTCCATCTGGTGACTGATTTTACCTTGCTGTGAGACAGGTTTCTTTTCTGAGGAACGCTCCATCTCCACTTCATTCCTGCTGAAAGCCTCAGGTCTACTGTTATATTGTTTGCATTCACTCTGTGTAACCATGGTAGGCAAACTCCTGAGACTAAAACAAAAAATAAAAAAATCTCCTAATCTCACTGGAAAACCTGCAGAGTCGCTTTATTAAATTTCAGCGGAGATTAAGAGCCTGCACAAAGAGCAGAGATGTAATGTTGGTTCAGTCTGTCTTGCAGAGTCTGAGTTTATCTCGGCTCTGCGTAATTTGGCAGCAGAAAATATCCGAGATCCCAAAGCTAACTCTATCAAAGATCTCTTGAGCCATCCTTAATAACTAAACCCAAGTTTCCCGTGTCCACTTTTTGAATAGAACGATAGAGACACAGCACCATCTGGTGGTCAGAAGTTAGGCAACGATCCCAAACTATTTTAATCAGGGAGCACGTCAGACCGAGTGACAACTGGAGGAAATAAGACTGAAAAAACAGAAACTAATCTTCTTTGCATCATACACGAAAGGTAAGGTACATTAGGGAATACAGGATCAATAGATTTGACCGTATCACCTGGAAAATCTAAGGCTCTTTCAGTGTTTACAGCCAGAAGTTGAAGATCTTAGCTTAAAAAAACAACAACTTAGGAACACCAGCTCTGTTTTAGGGACTGCTCTGCAGCCTTTAGAACTGTTTTTACAAAGAAAGATGCTTTATAATTTGTGTCTGGCAATGAACTTTGCCAGTATTAGAGGGAGAGTTGTGTCTCTTCTGGAAACATTAAAGAGCTCCTGGTACTTTCTGCTTCTAGCTGTAGCCTCTGTGCTCTCCAACGTAAAGTCTAACTTGAGTTTGGTCTCTCAGAGAGGCTTTACTCATCAGTTTGGCGATTCTGTTCAATCATGACAGGAATTGTTGACATTATGCATTTGTTGATGGTGAAAACTGAAAACTTGGAGTACTAAAAAAAAAAAAAAGTAGATCCCCCACTCCACAATCAATATGGTGCTACCATTGGCTGTTTTACTGCTAGTGGTACTGGTGCACTGAAACTTGGACACAGTTGGGTGTGTTTCTGGAAGGGCTTTCCCAGAGCTCTGACCTTTAACTCTGCTGAAAATGTATCATTAACAAGAACTATAAAAACAAAACAGTGAAAGCCCTTAAATGGCAAGACATTTCCTGCAGACAATGAGTCTGCAGGAAATGTCTGGGTGTAAATTGGCCAATTTACACCCAGGCCGGAATCTGAAGTCAGAGAAACACCTGGAAGACGTTCAGCTGAAACGAGGACAGCTGCTCTAATCTGCTCCCCAGGAAGCTCGTTATCATTCTCCAATAGGGTGGAGCTAAAGAACAGAGTAACTCCCACAGGATGTGAAGCGCCACTCAGAGTAAACAGCCCCAGTGACCCCAGCAACAAAACCTGAACCGTCTTTTGCATCGTATCAACACCTCGCCTCTGCTTCTCTCTTTCAACAAACGACGAAGACTCCCAGACCTTCTGATGGAGTATGGATATATAAGACAATTATTAACAGTGGGTAGGTGGTAGGTGGGTGACAACCAACCTGTTGTCACCCTGTGTCCAATTAAATTTTTTTTTGTCAAAACTATTTTCATCCTAGTGACGGAGCTGGATGTCAAGATAAAATGAGATGATTCTGCGTTTCACTGGGAAGAGGTTTTTTTTTTTTAAGTTTCTTCTTTTGGATGTCTTGTTTTTAACATTAATATTTTTCTATTCTCTTTTTATTTTGTAAAACTGGTTTATTCGTCCTTCCGATTCTATTTATTTGACCATACTAAACTCAGTCTCTGCAATGGCTGATCTGTATGAATTCCTTTCATGCAGATATTTGAATTTGAAATGCAAAATCTGCTAAATTTTGAAGACCTTTTAACTTTTCTCACATAAAAAATGAGATTAAAAGCAAAGATAGGTGAAGTTTGTGAGTAAGACAAAGTTCAAATGGCCAAGTAAAAGGAAAAAGAAGTGTTCCTAGTCCAGATCCGTGATCGACGGTGTCCTTTCTGTTGACATTCGCCAATGCTCTGACTCTCTACAACATGATGAGAGCTCTGCCATTGGTTCTGACCTTCAGAGTTCCAGTGGAGTCCTCCGGGGCTGGCGGCGAGCCGCCGTCGCTTCCTGACGCTGACGCCGCTGCAGGAGGTGGAGTCTCCCGTTGCCGACCGCGAGCCGGACTCTGAGGCGGCAGCAGGCGTAGAGGAAAGGATGGGCAGGAGAGGCGTAGACAGGAACGTCGCCTCCTTTCCCAAGGCAGGTGTGAGAAAAGTCGATTCTCTGTCCAAGGCCCTGCAGAGAAGAGAAAAATACTCACCTTTAGAGGCTAGAACCAGCTAAACTAACCTAACTAGGAGTTAACATTGTGGTATAACTTCTAAAATGCTAATTGACTGCTGTTGATGTCTACTTTGAGTCTCTTGGGCAAACCAGTTCCACACAGCCAGGCTTTCTGAAGCTATGGGTATCATGGAAAGGGGTTGCTCTTGGCAAAGCTAACGTCCAATTCTGGGATAGAAGAATTACTGCAAGAAGTCCAACGGGGGATTTTAGTGGAAGACCAAATCTTTTACCACTGATGTCCAGTGGAGAAGCACATTCCAGATGCATATTGAGAAAGAAGGTGATAGCCTAACCTGAGCCCTGTGAAGATCTCCCAAGCGTTTAAGACGATTGTAGGAAGAACAGGTCAGCAGTTGCTTTTCAGGTATTCAGAGATGGTGTAGAAATGTTAAAATTGCGCAAAGATCAACCCGTAATCCTTGTGAGTCACTTTAACTTTTTATCAAACTTTTTCAGGACAACAAATCCCCGTTTTAAACAAGATTTTCAGCTTTCACCTGTCCTCCGAAACGACGTAGCTGCAACTCCTCCATGATCCCCTCACCCGCTGCCTCCTTTTATTTTTCCTCCTGAGTATAAAATCCAGCAGCTCAGTCCAACTGAGCATCTCTGACCGAGTCCATCAGCGACGCGTACATATACGTCCTCCACTAGAGCAGTCGCAACCAGCTGGGGAACGCTGAGTGTTGCCTGAGACACAAATCAAACTTTTGCGGTTGAGGAAAGGTTTTGTATGGATCCCTAATAAAGCAGAACTAACAGAGGACTGAAGAAACGCTGCTGCTCTCAGGTATTCAGTGCCAAGCAGTGGTGTTACCTTACCTCATTGCCTGTGTGTGGGTGTGTGTGTGCGTGTGTTAATCAAGGAAATCGAGAATCAAGTGCTTCAGATATCAGAGTTTATGTGCCGAGGCTCTAATGAACGGAAAGTTGAATGTCGATGCAGTGCGATAAAAACGTATTGGCATCTCTTCAGATTTGTTTAGTTTCTACAGGCTTGTCACTATTAACCCTTTCATGCATGAATTATGATCCTTTGTGTCAGGATTTTTTTCCATTTTTTTTTTTTTTTTTTAAGGAATAAAAAAAGGTAGGAAAAAAAATATATATATATTTTTTTTTTTTGAACCAAAACAAAAAAAATTCCTCTTGGAGAATTGTACTTGTAGATTTTTTTCTTCTTCTAGTCTTTCACAAATCCAAAACAGCAGTTACATCTTGTCAAATTATTAAGTACAAGTATACAAATTGCATACTTTAAAACATTTTTGCCATTTACAGTTTTGCCCTAAATGATCCAAAACGAAAATAAGGAGATATTGTTTTTTGGCAGAAAGATATTGTAACTGAAAAGCTTTGCAACTGTGAAGTGCAAGTTAGGGCGAACTGATTTACTTTCAGAAGGAAATAACCCGAATAAATGCAAAAAAAAATTAAAGTAAAAAATAAAAAGTAAAAGCCTGCTTTATTGATGATGATTTATTGGGAGAAAAGCCTGCGCAAACCAGCATAGCCTCAAGTGAAAAATAATCTGACCTCTAATCTTAAATATGCCACTCATGCTTGAAAGCATTCAGCTCCACTGCAGCTTGAATGAAGACGATCAGAGTGAGTAACTTCCAGCAAAATAACACAAAATAATAATCTCTCTGCCTGTGGACCATTTAAAGCACATTCCAGACTCGTGTGTCAGATCTGTCTGCAGAACTCCTCCAGCTCAACTTCAGCATGTGGCTAATGACCAAACTTCCTCATATTCCATTTCCTCTACATCTATAAACACCGGTGTTTTCCCCTCGGGCACCCTGCCGCCGCGCAGCTTATCTCTGCCGCTTGCGACGGCCATCACCATGGAGCCAGACGGGTTCTTTATGAGCGCAGAGTGCTGAGGAACAATGTTCCCGCTGGCTGGCAGGAGGAGGGAGGAGCGCCGTCTACAGCCCGGCTTTGTTCTGGCACGACTGCAACGCCGTTATCAGAACCCGTTATCTCTGCTGGGGATTGGGCCGAGGTTCTGCCAGAGGAACGTTCCTCTCAGCTCACGGTTCCAGCTATATTTCATATGATGACATGAAACTAGAAAACAGTCTTTTTTTGTTTTTAATCGTTTCTAACATTTTCCAGCGTGAAACGAGGAAGAGGAGGGGGTGGGGGGTCGGGGGAGCATTGGACTGACTGACATTGGACTGACCAATGTAATTAAGGGGAATTATGTAACCGAGAGCAGATTAGTATTTTAGATTATGAACAAAAGTAAACTTTCCCTATTATTAAAATGAGATGGAAGAGCAGGCAAAAAAAGTTCTGCTGGGAGCTAAAGATTCCCAAAGCTGTTTGTTTCATTATGTGTTTATTTCCTGGGAAACTGTTTCGACTCGGACAGTTGCTCCCAACCGAGTTCCGTCTTTATGCAGAACTTATTAGTCATCCATCTGGTTTTCAGCAGGTTTCGGTTTAATTCCCTGACATCAGTCTCCTGCAGAGCTGCATAATTGTTCGATCTGAGGATTTATTCTGGTCAGGAATTAGTCACTACGCTGGGAAACAGCAGATCCGCAAGAAAACTAACGTTCCCAAAGTGAAGATACTTCACTCCCCAGGCCATGTTAAAGTCAACAACAGGCCAGAAGAAAACGACATAAAGCCCTTTCATAGCGAGACCACTCAGGCATGTACGCACATAACTGTAGATGAATACAAAAACCAGTTTTCAAATGTTGATTTAATTTGTTAGGGGAAGAAACCAAGACAGTCCAACCTCGCCCTGTGTGAAAAAGTAACAGCCTTCTACATTAAATATCTAATTAACTGTGATTGACCACGTTTTTAGGGTTGTTTTCACAAGCCGCACCAAACTCTGATCACTGCCAAGCCAGTAGAATCGAGAAACGTTTTTAGCAGAGCCTTCCTGACAACATGAGGTAGGCTCAAAGAGCAACACGGCTCGCCCCGACCTAACGAAATTCAAGAACAGAATAGAAATCAAGACTCTTTGAGCCATTTTCGCATCCGCATCGCAAGTTCTGCATGAACAGGATTAATTGATTTAAATACTCATACGGTCATGAACTGCCCAAAGAATACTGCAGTGCATTGACGACTCATGCACAATGTTAGCAAAGAAGCCAGAATAAATTCGACAAACACCTACAGGCCCATCATGCCCAGGTTACGTTTGATGTCTTTGGTTCAACAAACAATCAGACATCAACAAAATGGCATCCATAAGTTCTAAGGCTAAAACTCCAAAACGGCGTCTCAAATTTGTCGAAGTGTGTCAGCGCGATGCTTTTTGGAAAATGTTCTCTGGACTCATGAGATACAAAACTGATCTTTCTGAAAGGTGTGTGTCTTGTTACATGTAGAGTAAAACTGACAGCATTTCAGTTTGATCCGGTGGTGGCAGTGTGGCCACACGGCTGGTTGGCCTAATTCTCTCTGGTCTCGATGCAAACACCAGGAGTCATATCGACATTGAAATGAAAGTCATCAAGAAAGAAATGTGTAATAATCACAACACATCTCAGCATTTTATTATTTAATAATAATAACAATATTACAATCATAAGTGTTTTCCTTATATTATCCTGCAGCCCAAACCTGAGCCGATGTTCTCATTTCCGGAAAAACTGAGTAGTCTTTGGCTGCATTTCATGTATTTTAACGAAATACAAGAAATGTATTTATTTCATTGAAATACTCCAATAAATAAACTTTTCAATGATGTTCTACATAATTAAGATACACACATACCCTATAGATTCCATTTCGTTCCACAGAAACAGCTGAGATTTGTTTATTTTAATGTAAAAAAAAAAAACAATCAGCTTGTGTTTTCGTAAAATACAGGATAATGTTTTTATTTGAGAAGATGTGCATAAAAAAATCACCTAAATGAAATTCTGCCAAGTGATTCCAAAATATTTGGATTTTTCTCAAATTTTTCAAAATCTATATATTCCATCATATATGTAAGTTTATTCCAATAAAACATTAGAGATTTAATCTTATTTTGTCATTTGGGAAGATGTATGATCTACAGGAAACCAATTGAGAACATATCACTGTAGAAACTAAATAAAATATGTATTAAAATGTATAAAATACATCAATCTGAAACATAAAACCAGAATTTCAATCACTTACAGGTTTCCGACTCATTTAGTTGAGGTTCTAAATCAAATCCACTCATTTTGACCTTTAAAAGTGATGATTTACCTGAGCAGGGCTTCTCCCGGCTCACTGCAGATGGAGCGCCGGGAGATGGAGGCCGCCGACGACGACGAGGACATAGTCGGCGAGTTGGAGGAGTGGTTGGACGCGTGCGAGGATGACAGGGTGGAGCAGGAAGAGGAGGTCTGGGTGCCGTCCAGAGGCCTGGACAGCAGCAGGGAGGACGGCATGCACAGCCATGTCTCCAGGTCCGAGTACTTGGAATAACTCAGCATCTCCAGGACGCTGCGGGAGGACAGAGGCAGACCATCACGGGATCTCGTTTTAACTCCCGACTTCCACCCCGTTCGCAGCTCTTACCTCTCCTCTCCCACTCCTGGGATTTCATCCCTCTCGTCTGCAGCCTGGAAGATGCAGGAAGTCCTGGATTCTCGGGACGACAGCAGAACACAGGAGTTCTCAGAATCCACAGACATCTTCAGCCATTTCTGTGAAAAAAAAAAAAAAAAGGATCTAAATGACAGACTTGATTCTCACAAATCTAAAAGAAAAACTGAGTAGCAATAGAATTTCCACACCGACCGTTTCCATATATTTAATGGGGTAAGGCAAATATGTTGAGGTTTGTATTAGTATTTGTCAAATATACAGATAGAATGAGACTGTTTCCTGCAGAATGTTAGCCACTAAAATATATATTATTTTTTTAACATCATTCAATGCTTCTTCACACTTGAAGCACCAGTCATAACATATTAGAGACCTATATGACTTCAAACTTTCTACTGTCTTTTTCTTAGCCGAAAAGCTGCGTTGCTTTTTTGACAGATGCAAAAGGATCCACACCTTCTATAACATCTTATTGTTTTTCCTCATTGGGTCACATAATATTTGACCAAAAGTCTTGGGAACCATGCAGATGTTTTTGGTAAACGTGAAATGTCTGTGTTTTGGTGATATGGAAGCCTACTTCATGTTGTCAGACAGGTGCTATTCAGGAGGTTTATGAAAATGAAAACCAAAGTTTATTTGGATAGCACATTTCAAGGTGATTTGCATAATACAAAGAGAGTCCCAAAGTTTTAGGGCAGGGGTGTCAAACTCAATTTCACCGAGGGCCACTTCAGCATATTGGCCACCCTCAAAGGGCCACATTGA